CTATGGTCCTTATTTAGTTCCAACTTTGGTTCCGCACGCTCTCTTGCAATGACCACCAGGGTTGTGCTGGAGCCCCCAAAATTAGATCAGATAGACAGACAGAGACAAATAAGGAAAGCTTTAAACAGACAGGAAAAAGTCAGCTTGGACTCCCATATACCTTACTAGGTAGGACACAAAGATCAGTTACTCCTCACTAAGGCATTGAAAATTTCTCTGCACACCCCTCCTAAAATTGTTCTGCTCCTCAATCATTAACAAAGGGCTTCTTAGAGTTATAAACCTGTTTGGACTATCCCAAAACTCGTAAAGTTCAGCAAAATTCACACTTGAATACTATAAGCTGCTAAATATAAAAATGAAGATAGACAAGAGACAGCTGAATAGTACCCTACAACCAGTTTAAGGTTTATAGCAACCAGTTGTGTATATACTAAGTTGAGATGTCAATGAAGTAGTTACAGAATATGGTTAAGAATTTGCATTTTTGGGGGCCTGGCGTGATGGCGCAGTGGTTAAGGTCCTCGCCTTGCACGCCCAGGATCCCATATGGGTGCTGATTCTAATCCCGGCGGCCCCGCTTCCCATCCAGCTCCCTGCCTGTGCCCCGGGAAAGCAGTCAAGGACGGCCCAAAGTTTTGGGACCCTGCACCTGTGTGGGAGACCTGGAAGCGGCTCCTGGCTTCAGATTGGTGCAGCACCAGCCGTTGTGCTCACTTGGGGAGTGAATCATTGGACGGAAAGTCTTCCTCTCTGTCTCTTCTCTCTGTATATCTGCCTTTCCAATAAAAATAAAATAAATCTTTAAAAAAAAAAAGAACTTGCATTTTCTAACATATTGGTCACTCAATACCATGTCAATTAACCTCATGATGTTGTTAGTTTCCATGTTTCTTCCTTTCGTTGAAGATGTGTAGTGGCTTTTTGTAGGAGGGGATGATACTCTGCCAGCTCCACTTTCAGACCAAGGATGATCTCCCAATGAAACTGTTGAATTTATCTGGACAATAAGATGCTGGACTCCCTGCATGGTCCATGCCCGCAATGAAGGAATCATGGCTGGTTATGGAGTGTACTACTGTAACAATATGGAGGAATTCAATACGTGGGGAGGGCTCGGGGAGTCCCAGAGCCAATGAAACTGTGTCATAAAATGAAATAATAAAATAAAATAAAATATAATATAATAAAAAACCAAAAGCTAGACTAGTGATATGTTCTGAGTCCTGACTAATGAGTACCTAAGCCTCAGTAAATCCCTGCGTTTAGATTGTACTCATTCCTGTACTCTTGGAAATTGCCATGCTCACCAGAGGGCATTTCTGAAGCTCACCAATAATGCTTTTGCTTTCTCGTTTTAAAGTCTTTATTTCTGGTTTCTTAGAACTTGTACTGTTTAAATCTCTCTTCTAACTGGCTTAAAAGTATTTAATTTTTGAATCTTGAATGGCTTTCTATTTGTAAGGACAAAAAAGAGCCACTTCAAGGATGTGAAAAATGATATCTAATAGAATTTTACATGCCTCACACAATGTTTTCCCATGGTCATAGGTTATTGTCACTCTATATTGTTGCCCATGATGTCTTGTTGCCAATGATATTTCATAAGCAAAAGGAAGTTGCCCATGGGATCAAATTAGAGAAACTCCTTTGGATACCATACTTCCTCTTCATTTCCTCCTCATTTTTGGAGTTACTTGCTCTGTCTCATGCTCACCTCCTATGCCATCTCAACAGTACGCATTGGTTTTCCCTTCTGTTTCCACAGTCTACTGAGATCTCATTACCTCTGTTTCTCGAGATGAGAGGAAGGTCCATCTAGAGAAGAAGCAGTTGACCTAAGGACCAACATCACATGCTATGTTCACAAGCAATCAAGGTCAGCTACTCAAAATTTGTGTTTTCTATACCTAAGCCTATGAAATGAGCTCTTTCCCTCTCTGTAATCACTTGGTAAAGGACACTTCCTTTCTTTCATATCATTTTACTCTGCCGTTTTTGCTATAACACAAGCTTATCCCAAGACATACCTAAATATTTGGTTGCTATGTGGAGAAAATAGCGTTTAGGGAAATCATGCATCGCATTGAATGTTAATTTATAGTGAAATTACTGAATTAAATGTAAATAAAGTGATCTTATTAATGTGTGGTAAAATATTGAGATTTCAAGTGGCAAAAGAAAAGAAAATACATGTGTGTTAATTATGAAAATGTTCTCGTCAGGATTGGTGCTAGATGGAGCAGGTTAATGTAACACGCCTGCATCCTGTGTGGGAGTGCTTGGGGAACTCCCATAGTAAAGGCAAAGTATGAACATTGTTTAATAAAGCATATGTTCTGTTTGAATTCAATTGTGATATCCAAATTCAAGGGCTATTGGTAACACAACTGGGTCCCACCGCTTCCTCCCCACTGTGTACTCTACCCAATCTATGAGGCTTCAGAGAGGAACTGTGGACTCAGGCGACGATTGTGATTTCTGAAACAATCTATAGATGACGTCAGCTCTCCAATTGTTTATTTCCACTACTCTTTGAACCTCAGTTTCCCTGTCTATACAACTGACATAAAACATAGTATATCTATTTACTATAAATAAATAATACAGTCTTTTAGAGATTTGCCAAACACAAGTTGTTCTATAAAAGGATGGGAATGTTCTATGTTCTAGGAAGCATAGTGATCCCCAAACGACTCACTGGTTTGCTCATGACACCTGCAGGAGCTGTCATTTTATTTATCTCTTCAGTCTGCAGTTCTAGGTCTCAAGAAGGTACCTGTTAATCTACAAACAGGTCACATACCATCATCCATTAGACCATTTTAATGGTCTGTTTGTGATTGGTCATGGTGGAAAATATGTGTAATTGGCAGGAATGAAAAGTTATAAAAAAGAAGCAAACCAATACTTCATGAATGACCCTCATGAAATTATACTGAACAAAAGAAGTCAAACACATAGGAATCAAAGTTCACAACGTGCTGGAATGTACACATCTAAGAAGTGATCTCCAGACTTTGTGAGGTGATAAAAATGTTGCAGGTCTTCAAATAGTGCAGATTTTTCTAGAAAGATTTTACTGAAAATCTTAGCATTTACTCTATATAGATTATGCTTCAGAATATGAATTTTCTCATGCTGTGGCAATTATGTTTCATAATTCTTATATTTTGTGAGTGTGTGCTGAAGCATTTACAGATGAAAATATAGATGAAGAGCTTGGAATTGACTCAAAACATGAAAGTTGGTAGTGATACAGTGGTTTGCTTATAGCTGGGATGATAGCTCAGGCATCAAAAATTGTGCAACTTGGGTGATGCTCATGTGATAGTCCTTTATTTTGCCTTTCCACATTTCTGAACATTTCCCATCATCCACAAAGAGAAGGGGTCACTTAGTTCACCTCCTGATTTGCAAAACAGAAAACTGGGAAGAGGGGCACCTAACATGCTTACGGTATCAAGATCATAGCACAAACTGATTCCCACATTCAGCCTTCTTTTACTCATCCCAAGGAAACAAAACATGAGCATTGTGGAAAAGCTGCTTCTCAAAAGAACAGATGAAAAGTGTGAGGATGGATTTAAGCAATACAACTTGAGCTCCAGTTGCACACTTTCCCCACAGAACCTGTGTGTATCATTTATACCACCCATATCTATCTATCTATCTATCTATCTATCATCTCTCTATCGTATTTGTGTATTATGTCTAGAACCTATCATCTCTCCATCTTTGACACTAGAACTCTCTCTCTATACCTCTATCCCTTCCTTACTAATAACCATTCTCTTCTGTCCTGTGTGGTTTTAAATTGTGTTTGATAGGCTGAAATCAAATCAAATTAAATTAAATGTCCAGAATCCAAACGGAGTCAGAAAAACAAACCATGCAGCAAAAAAGCCTTGTTCGTTCCTTTGGCACTAAGACTTTGCGGGCTTGAAGAGCAAGGCCTGCCACTGGAGGGAGGGGCTAGGTTCTCTTTTGGTGCGATCCAGGAACAGTTGTTTTCCACAGGGCACTGACAGATGAAAATGCCTTAAGCGATGCAGAAATCAGCTGGGGCTCCCTGGTGTGTGTGTGTGTGTGTGTGTGTGTGTGTGTGTGTGTGTGTGTGTGTGTGTGTGTGTGTTGTCAGCTTGGAGGGCTGCGTGGACCACTCTGGATTTGCTTCCCAAATCATATCCTGGGATCTGGAAACGACTTGCCATTTCCACAGCGAAAAGCCTGAGGACTCATCATTTTCGACGGCTGGGAAATATTTATTGCTTGCTCTACAGATGGGCGGGGGAGGGGGCGCGGAATCAGCGTCTGGCAGCCGCTGATTGGTGGAAAAGAAAATGGTGAGAGTCGGGTGGGAAAAGGATTTGCCGAGTCCCTTCCAGCCTTCTCGACCTGTAACTCTTGCCAGGTAGACTCCAGCCTGCTCCAGGGATCCTTTCGGGGTCACCCGGGGTTAAGAGTGAGTGAAAACCTGGAGGATGTTGGAACAAAAGCGACCCTGCACGAGGCATCCCTCGGCGAAGTCCTTGGTGTCACCAGGCGAGGCTGACTCGGTGCAGGTGAAGGCGCTCCTGCTGCACCCCGAGTCTCCTCCCTCCATTCTCCCAAGCAGTATAGGCTTGGACGCCCACTTCTCGGTCCCCAGGGCCAAAGCTTGACTCCGCCGGGGTCTAGGATTTATCCGAGGAACCAGTGCAAAGGCGGAGACTGAGAAGGAGGGGGAGGAAAGAGGGAGCGACAGCAGCCCGAGCCTGAGGCGCTCCGTATCTCCGCAGGGTTCAGACGACCCTGACTGTGTGCTGAAGCGCAGCGCATCCCGCCTTCCTGCTTCCCAGTGGTGGTGGGCCGCTGCAGTTCCAAGGACCACCTGCCCCCGCCCCCTCCCCACCGAGCACGGGAGCCCAGAGCACGCGCTGGGAGCGCAGCAGGCGCGGGAGAGGGGCGGGGAGAGGCGCTGACAAATCAGCCGTGGGGGCGGTGAGTCGAGGAGATCTGGGAGCTAGAGGGGAGGAGGAGGTGGTGGTGGAGGAGGAGGAGGAGGAGGAACGGCGGGGCGACCAGAGGCCCAGGAGCGGGTCGACGGCGGAGCGACGTTTTTGCTGCAGCGGAGCCAGGTGTGTGCCGGCCCCAAATGGGACTCGAGACCCAGCCCCGCCCTGAGCCTGCCTCTCGTCCCCCTCTAGCCGTCTCTGGCGACCCCTGCTCTCTTCCTCTTCTATGGTGCGGGGCCCAGGGGCGGGGGCATATAAGGAAGGGGACCGGGGAGTGGCAATTCGACGACAGGTTTGCGCGCGTGCCTCTCACACCCCGCGCCTCCAGGGGTTGCGCTGACCGCAGCCTCCTAAGGGGACCTTTCGTATGGTGGTGCCACCTCCGCCCTTCCTGTGCGCTCTCGTCCCCACCCTATACCCAGTTAAATAATACTTGGGAATTGTTTAACGGGAACGGGGGGGGGGGGGGAAGGGAGCAATCAGGAGAAGAGGATTCGGGTGAGTACCTGTGGCTCTGAAAGGGCGTCTTTGGGAATACTGGAGAAAATCCAGAGTGAGGGGGCACGCCGCAGATGCGGGGAAGGGGATGCACCCCTTGACCGATGTGTCCGGGCTCGGCGGGGGTGCGAGCCGTTTGGGTGAACTTCATTAGACGACATTGACCCGACTTTCCCCTGCCTCCAACATGCCCCTCGCCTCCCCGAACTCTCGGAATACTGGGGACCAGCGACTTCTCTCCGGTGCGCTTTTATTTATCCATGTATTTTCCCTGCGGAAACGCAGGGTGCTGGATGGAGCTCAAGCTTCCAACTTTTCTTTTGCCTTAAACATCCCTCCAGGCACCTGTTCTCTGAGAAGTGACGCGGCAGCTTTGACCGCAGTAAATGAAGCCCAGAGAAGGCAAGTCAACAGGTAGTAAGGGGTTAACAAGTGCGGCGCGAGGTCTGCTGAGGGTGCCGGGATGCTGCTACTGCCTGTGGCGCCTGGCATGGGTGTGGATGCTCCTCGCGGGTACAGACCAGCGCGTGCTCCGGGTAGATAGCGGAAGGAGCTGGAGGGCTCTGGTGCAATCAGACAAGAGCCCCTGTGCGCCTTGGTTGGCTTGAGGTTCAGCCACTTGCTGAGTGCCTAGTGCCTTTCCTTTCCCTGAGATCCACCTGTTCATCCTCTTCTGGAATTCCTTTAAAGAATGCACCTGACCTGGACCTTCAGCTTCCCTCCTTTTCCTGCGGTCTTTCCTCTAAACCGGCTTTTCACTTACTTAGCGTGGGTCACCCTTGGCCCCTGGGAAGTTGAAGGAAGGACCCCAGGTATTCATGCAGCTGTGCTTTTGAGATGATGAGCAGCTCAGATGTACACCCTCATCAGCCTTTAGGCTGCCAGACCTGTTCCAGGGAGAGGGGGAAATTTCTAGAGCAAAAGCTTCAGGGGCTCAGGATTGGGGAGGAACATTGCTTTGTCTAGATGTATGAAGTGAGGAGTCACATCAAAGATTGTGCACACTTTGGGGGGATTTCTACTGATTTTTAATGTCTTTAAAAATGTTTTAGTTTTGTTTTTACCCTGTATGGCTTGAAGTTTGATTTCCGTTGCCCGGAAGTTCTCACTCAGTGTGTATTTTGTGTTTTTTTTCAGTGTGGTGTAGAGAAATTCCTTAACCATGGATGTCTTCATGAAGGGGCTTTCAAAGGCCAAGGAGGGAGTTGTCGCTGCTGCTGAGAAAACCAAGCAGGGTGTGGCAGAAGCTGCAGGAAAGACAAAAGAGGGTGTTCTCTATGTAGGTAGGTAAGCCCCAAATGTCATGTCAATATTTAACCCCGGTTCAAAGGATCAATACAAAAACACTGCCATTTCCCACTCGATTTGTTCTTGTGTCATCACATTTCAAAAGGATGGATTGAGTCAGAAGTACGTGTAGGTAGGTGAATGGGAAAGTGTACATTTGAGCCGACCTTGAAAAATGTAGCTAATTTTTGTTCTCCCTGATTATTAAATGTCACAGTAACACTTAAAACTTTTTAAAAAATTCTCTTTTTCAATGAAGGTTGGACTTTATCCAGAGGACAGTTTGCCAAACTGTCTTTATTGTAAAGTGAAAAATAGTCCTAAGAATCCAAGTCATTTGTGGGCTTTTGATTTCTTTTGTCATGTGAGTAACATTTACTAATTTGGTTGCGTGCTTGTTATGCATGAGATGTTGCTGCAGCCCAGTGCTGTGTGTGTGCCTCCAAAATGGGAAGAGGAGCTTCTGGGGTGCAGTCACTCATGGTGACAGCATGGGTCCAAGTGTTCAGGAAAGTGCTTGGACGCTGCTGCTAACATCTTCAGAATATTTCAGTAATTTATTCACCAAGTGGCATGCAGCAAATAATAATGCACTCGGTGCCTGCCCTTCCGCTTCCTTCTAAATTCCACTAAGAGCTTGAGGTTCTTTTCTGTATTTTGAACTGTGTTAAATTGGGTGTCATTTCACAAATTCCTTCAATTCCTTGGGGAACAAATGGACACACATACACATATCGCCCTGGAGGGTGCTTCAAATGCCTCATGGGAAATGGAATTAAAGGATGTTTATTTCACTGCCATTTTTTTTGAAATGTATGCATAAATGCATACATTTTTTCCCAGGAGACATTTTTGGAGAACTGTATGTACACACACATGCATGTGGGCCCATTTTTCCTCTGCTGTTTCTCCTCTGAGGTCTACTACGCTCTCAGGTGCCACAGGATGAGCAGTCAGGTGGAGGATGAGCATATTGCGTGGCCTGGCCTGGGTGACATGTTTACGGAGCCTGCCTCTGTGGAGTAAAAGAAAGCGCTACTGCTCTCACGTGTAGCTCATAAGAAAGGGTACACACTTCGTATGCCTTTAACGACTGCCTCTCCTTCAAGCTTGTCACTCATGTATCGCAGGCATTTTCTGTTTGTTGGCTTGATCTTCCCATAAATTAATTTCATTTTGCATCTTGTAATAGGTTTTCAGAAAATTTTTTGGAACAGGGTGCTATGAGATGAAAAAATGATAAATTAATTTCCAGTTTTTTTGTGAAAGGTGAATTTTATCCTTCGAGTTATAATATGTAGCACTGAAACAATGACATGAAGATTATCAGTATTTTTTTCCTTTTAGTTTTTCAGCTTTTGTAAGTACAACCTCATAACTATTTGATTACACCATAATTTGTATAGTTTAACGTGTTTTTTAAAGAAGCTAATATTCTCTCTAATCCTTTGTAATAAATTCAGCAACTACTGAATATTAGTTTTATACATTGTTCTTTCTAAGATAATCAACAAGTTTTAACATCTGTAACACTTGCTTGTTTTCATGGTTGATAATTGATTTTGGGCAAGTGAAATAATTTTATTTTTCAGAGATCAATTCAGGTGTTTGCTTTGAGGTGACTCATATATATTAACTTGTGTATGTATCAAATATTTGTTAAACCATTTTCAATATCCATTATGGTATTTAACACATGCTTTATGCTATAAATAGTTTATTAGCTATGTTCAGAACACTAACTGAAAGGCACCCATAGATTCAGAATGAAAACGATCATTTGAAGACACAACAGTGTTGCCCAGGGATTGACAAAATTTTTGTAAAGCATCAGATACAGTTCATACTCTGAATCAGCTTAGTGATGATCACATTTTTATTATTTATTTTACATAGAAGTCGTATTTATTTACTTGAAAGGCGGAGTGATATAGAGGAGTGGGGTTAAGAGACAAAGAGAATACCTTCTATCCATTGGTTCACTCCCCAAATAGTCATAATGCCTGGGGCTGGTCCAGATGCCAGAAATTCCATTAGCTTTCTCACATGGCTGGCAGTTGCTCCTGTGCTTGGCCATCTTTCACTGCTTTGTAAGCACATTAGCAGAGACCTGGATACAAAGTAGAGCAACAGGCTAGCACCATGGCTCACTGACTAAATCCTTAGGTTGCAAACACTGGGAATCCTAGTGGGTGCTGGTTTGTGTCCTGGCTTCTTCACTTCTTATACAGTTCCCTTCTTGTGATTTGGGAAACACTAGAGGATGGCCTAAGTCCTTGGGCCCCTACACCCATTTGCGAGACCCAGAAGAAGCTCCTGGCTTCAAGATGGCTCAGCTTTGGCCAGTGCAATCATTTGGGGAGTGAGCCAAAGCATGGAGGATCTTTGTCTTTCCTTCTCTCCATAAACATGATCTGCCTTGCCAATAAAATTAAATAAACCTTGAACAAATAAGCAGAGCAGTGGAAACTCAATCTGATGTGAGATGCTTTCCCCACCATAATATTTAGGTCATAATTATGTATGAGTACTTAAAATTGTATACAAATGTGAAACTAGAGAATAGGGCCAATACTTTGTTTCTAAAAATTTGATGCAGAAGTCAACTTCATAATACTCTTAGTTATAATAAACACTTGAATATCTATGCTTCATGTTTGGTGAATAACTAGGGCTCTGACCATGGTTAGTTGTTTTTGTTGTTGTTGTTGTCTTTTTTTTTTTTTTTTTGGCCAGTGTTCTCACCACAGTGACTGTGCTGAAACTTCATGGTTTTCCACAGTGTTTGAGAGTGCTCAGTCTTACTTGGTAATTTTAATTAAAAAGGATGCTACGTTTTCATTTTGCTTAAAAAATGCCTGTAATTATTTTGTTATAACATTATGTTATTTAAAAAAATGTATTTCCTTGGAAGAGGTAGAGGAGACAAAGGAAGGGAAGAGGGCGTGGGAAAGGGAGAGAGGGAGGGAAAGAGAAGGAGCGTGAAAGAGAAAGTGAGAGAGAAAGTGAAAGATCTTTCTCCCAGATGGCCACAATCCAGAGCCTGAAACTCTATACAAGTTTCCCATGCTGATGGGAGCAGCCCAAGGACTTGGGACATCTTCCATTCTTTCCCAGGTGTGTCAGCAGAGAAGTAGATTGGATATACAACTGCTGGGTTTAGAACTAGAACTGGTCAATGGTGGCCTGTGACAGCTTAGTCCACCGCGTTACAACAGCAACCCCAATTTCATGCATTTTTAAACAAATAATTGGTAATTACTTTGATATCCACACATAGATTTAAATTGTTCTCATTCTCAGCTTTATGCCTTTATTTCATTTATTCTTCTATTTCTCATTAGAACTGCATAAGTGATAGAATAGTTTTCAAATAAATCTCCAACCTATTGTTATTTTTCGGAAAATGCTGAATTTTCTGCTATTGTCTATACCTACAATGTCATGATATACTTAAATATCAGAAGTATGGATTGTGACTGTTGCTGAAGGACCGTACTATTGTAATAATATGGGAGAAAACAGTGGAGGAGAGGGTTTTGAGGACGGGGAAGGGCAATCCCTGAGTGTATGGAACTGTCTCATGAAAAATAAAAATTAGGAAAGTATGAATTATAATGAAAAAATCTGAGAGGTCATGAATAAATTTGCTAACAGTTTTAGCAATGTAGATAATTTTATGCAAATTTAATAATAGCCAAGATTTTTAGGCAGATAGTTTTTATTTCCTTTTGTTTATGTCTTGCCAGAGATCCAGTTCGAATGTTGTGTATAGCCCATGATGTATGTAACCTTAGGCAAGTGGTTAGTTGTTTGTTTTACTTTGATCTTGTCAAAAATGGGCATAAGGCACCTGTTTCAAGTAGATGTTATATGCATGAATTGAGATTTAAAAGGCCTTGTACATAGTAGGTGGCTGATGCATTCGGGTGCTTGTCTCCTTCCATCTCTTATTATATGTTTGCAGAATTAACAGATCTCTCTTGTGTCATATTTGTAAATATTCTTCAGTTTTGAAGTCAAAATAGTCTTGTTTTTGAGACTCATTGTTGTATCACCTTTCCCCACTGAAAGTTGTTATTCTAAAGTGGGAAACTAGGGGGAAGGGCATCATTCTGTGCTAGAATCTTAGCTGCAGAGACCCTCCTGTTGTACTGGCTTTCTGTTTGTTGTAGTGACAGGATTTCCTAACTTTAGTTGTTTTTCCCCTGAAACTATCATGTCAGATGCTTCTGTTGTGTTGAAAACTGGCAAGTCAGCAGCATAGGCCTCAGCTTATGTTTTTGAATTTGTTTTTACAGGTTCCAAAACCAAGGAAGGAGTGGTTCATGGTGTGACAACAGGTAAGCCCCTGAAAAGCTTGGGTCCATGGATGATACAGAAAATCCCTTGCAACCAGCATTGCTCAGCTTAGATCATCTAGAATGTAGTTGTAAGCATCCACTCTCACATGGAGACACATCCCATGAGATCCACAGTCTTGCAGTTTTGATCCAATTTGTTTATATATGGAATATTTTTGAACAAGCTCTTTTTATTGATAGAAAATGCATGTACAAAATGTAAAGATTAGCATTTTTCCAAGGAATTAAATGTCTGTTGAGAACATCAAACAATGGAGTCCTAAAGTATTGCAAATACGATATTTTCTTTATGATTGATAGTATGTTTCAGGAAATACTTGAAATGATGAGTAAATTACTATTTGCATCTCTGGCATGATCTTACCAATATTTAAAAAATATTAATAAGAAGATTGATAATAAAAAATATAACAGAAGAGAATATTAGTGATGATGAAAGTAAGATGAGATGAGGGTTTTAAGTTGCTGCAGGTTAACCAAGAATAACCAAAATTTAATAAGTTATGAGCCTATAAAGTTACTGTTGTTGAGATTCATGTTGGAAGTACAGCCTGCTCCCTGACAGCTGTGATGAATTAAGAAATATCATTAGAAATCTGATACATACGATTAGAATGTATTAAATAAAATGCTTCATCAAAGTATCATGTTCCGGTTAGTACATTATAAAGTAGAAATGGAGAAAGTGAAATTGGAATATTGACATAATTTTTCTACTATCAACATAAGCAGAAGTCAGATCTTTTTGGTTCAAATTCATACTTCTTACTTGCTGTGTGATTTTTCTTAGATTCTTGACCACTGTGTGTTTTAATTTTATCATCTGTAAAAGAATAAATGAGCTAGAAAACAATGTACAGTTTGATTTTGTTGCTTTTTCTTTTTATTAGTTTGTAGTGGACCTTTGTTGAACATTTTTATAGATGGTGAAAACTACACCTCATGTATGACTTTTTAAATGAATGCTTTTGACAAAAAAATGATGATGTAAGAAGAAACCAGAATTCTTTGCAACTGTTTGTTAAATGCTAATAATGTGCCTTTCATTTGCTTTGTTGCCAAATGATTATGTAAGACAGAACTAGGCAGGTAAATAGACTGTATTGCCTTGTTGGGACCTTCTACCAATGTGATATTTTTAAGCATGGTTTTTAAGAAGAACTAGCTAGTAGGTAGTGCCAGACTCTGCTTCTTGAAGAGGGCCAAGCTGGCTTGATGGTGTTGGTGTTGCATCTTGATCACTGAGGGAGAAATCTTAAGATTTAAAAAGTAGGTAAGGAAGTGGCACCTGCATACAAATTAAAGCATAGCTAATAGTGTTATCTACTGGATGAGATGGGTTATGAAGATAACTGTGGACATGTTAGAATTGTGGATTTTCTTTTTTTTCCAGAATGTTCCCATTGTTAAGTGTGTGTGTAAGAAGTATGTGTGAGGGTGGGTGAACATGGCAGAGGGTGGAAGCTGAGGCAGAAACAAGACAGCATTTTCAAAAACTGTTTCTGAAGGAATATGGTCCAAAAGCTTATGTTTCCATAGTTTTATCACTTAGAAAATTTTTGCATGCCATATCTTCTCTTTAGCATTGTAAAGAATCTATAGCAAAGGCATGTACAAGGTGCTGTGTTACCCAGAGTATTTTCAAATTTCTTTCACTACACATTCAAATTCCAAAAAATTATGAGAATTGCTGAGAAAAAAGGATATGAAGATAGAGGCATGTGTAGTTCTTGTGGTCATTGCACTGGTTAGACTGCCTAAAAATTAGTAAAATATCAAAAGGCCCTCATAAATAATCTGCTTGTAAGAAATCCAGTAAAGAAATCTGCTGCGATTAGTTATGTTTGTCTCATATGGTAGTTAAATAAATTACTTAATTACTTAGTTTGTTGAGTAAGGTTATTTAAACTCTTATTTATTTATTTATTTTAAATATTTATTTATTTTTATTGGAAAGGCAGATATACAGAGAGGAGGAAAGACAGAGAGGAAGATCTTCCATCTGATGGCTTACTCCGCAAGTGGCCATTGGCTGGAGCTGAGCCAATCTGAAGCCAGGAGCCAGGAGACTCTCCCAGGTCTCCCACGTGGGCATGGAGTCCCAAAGCTTTGGGATGTCCTCGACTGCTTTCCCAGGCCACAGAGATATAGCTGGATGGGAAGCGGGGCTGCCAGGATTGGAATCGGCACCCGTATAGGATCCCAGCACATTCAAGGCAAAGACTTTAGGCGCTTTGCTATTGTGCCGGGCCATAAATTCTTATTTATTTATATTAAGGAAAGAGAGAGACTGAGATTGTGACTTACTGACTCCTTGGATGCCCACAGTTGCTGGGACTGAGTGAGGCTGGAAGCCAGAGCATGGGACTCTGAGTTTCCATTGTGGGTGAAAGGGGCCCAGGTATTTGGTCCAATTTTCACTGTTTTTTTCCAGGCACATTAGCAAGGACCTAGATTGGAAGCAGAGGAGCTTGGCCTTGTAACCCAATCTCTTACACAGGATGCTGGCATCTCAGGTGGCAGCTTCATGGGCTGTGCCATAATATCAACTCCTATTCCTAATTATTGGTATTAAATAATATAAATGATCAAGAATAACAGCCTTAATCTGAGCAACTCAAAATAGTGTAGTGGATCTGGACAGACACACTGATGAGTAATCATGGTACAATGAGAAAGAAGTGTAGTAGAGGGATGTTTTAAATTGCATGAAATACCAGGAAGAGGAGCAAAGCACTTACTGGGAGAAGATGTTTTTAACATGGACATTTAACATGTGATATTTAAGTAGGGTTTTAACAAGGGAACTGAGTTAGCTGAGTAAACAAGAGTGGGATAAATATTTCTAGCCATATGGAGCTACAAGTATCAAAATGGAAAAGACAGGCACATTGGGTAAAACCTAACTGAGATAAAAATATTCAATTGGTTTGAAGTAGTGTATCCTTTTGACCCTAGTTAGAAGGTCTTTTCCCTTAAAAAATAAATGTCATTTTTTGATCCAAAATATGCCAAATTGAGTGTATCTTCTTAGCTTTTATTTTGTCAGTCATTAGAATATTGAACTGAGAAACAGTCTAAAAGACCTTCAAGGAACAAGATTCTTCAGGTACCTGCAGAACATTCCAGAGAAACCAGTGCTACAGGAATCATTGCCACCTGTGTACTTGGTCACTATGTAATATGTCTAAATTGTTAATCATTTGTAGTCATAAATTTTTGTGAGTTATAATTCTATCACAAGTATATGATATTTTATACTGGATAATTTATATGCATTAAAAACAACAGATTAAAGTTTCTATCTAAAGGATTATCTAGTTTTTGTAAAATTCATGAAGAGCGGAGGAACAGTGAGCCTATAAAACATCAAAATCTTTTTTCTTTTCTTGGAGATTTATAACAAGAGAATGTTCATTTCAGGCAAAATTTTCTGTTCATGTTCTTAAAAAAGAAAAAAAATGACAACTTGAGATACATAATTCACCATTTCTAAAAGATCAACACTCCACAAATGTTTAAAAACATAAATTTTCCAGTACAGCTTTTCACTGGCATTTAAATTGAACTTTGAATTGTAAATAGCTGTTACTCCTTCAGAGATATTAGCATTTTCAATGGCAGTGAGTCACTAGGTAAACCTGTACAACTCTGGCTGCAGGCTGACTTAGACTGTGTTGCTGCTTCACCCTTCCCTGTGCTGGCTGAGCGAAAGAATCCTGACAGACCACCTTAGCTTCCAGGACTTAGCTAGGCTACTTGAAAACAAATTGCTTTGTTCACACCATTTAACTGTTGACCTCCCAAACTGGTGAGCTGAGATCTGTGCAAGAAGTAAGTGAGGTGCATGCACAGGTGACAGGATGCAAGCGAGGCTCAATAGGAGGGTGTAACGAACATGCAACATGAAAACAGGTCCTTGTCTGTTTGTGGGAATGCCTAATGAATGAAATTCCTCAAAACTCCCAGTTCTGGAGGTTACATGGCGGGGTGGGAAGCAAACCAAGAATGAGATTGTGGAACAAAAAGAAAAGAAAAGAGGACAGCTATTCTGTAGACATAGTCAAAAGATGCAGGTCCTAAGGCTTGTGGGCATGGATTGTTACAAGGTTTGGATAAAAAGGGGTGGTCTTATTTCTGTATCAAGTTATTAACAGTGCATAATCTTTTACCTTTTGCTGCTTTTGTGTGGAGCTCCTTAATTAATTGGAACTAATATTTACAGTATCATTTCTACATTTTTAATTGGTTTTAGAGAATCTACTGAATTATTGTGTCATATTTTATTGTATGTAGTGAATTGCATGTTGAATTGTATTAATATTGAATATAACTGTTTTCTTAAAGTATTAACTTAATATTAAATAATATTAACTTAAATATTTGTTCTCATAGAAATTCTTAAAAGTCAATCTTATTAAGAATCCTTCTGTTTCATACCTGAAACTCTGCAGAAGAATCAAAATTCTTTCATAATCATTCCTTATGCCATTGTTCATTTTGATAGTAACATGTATGAGCACATAAGCAATTTGAGTGTCTCTTGATCTTGGGTTTTTTTATTATGGTATGTTTGCATATACATAATGAGGTATTTGGGGAATAAGTCCCAAGTCTACACAAATTCAGTTGAGTTTTAATATATATTATATGAATAGCCTGAAAGCATGTTTATTCAGAATTTTCTTAAAAGATCTACTTACTTATTTGAAAGGCAGAATAATACAGAGAGAGAAAGTGAAATAGAAAGATTTTCCATCCACTGGTTCGCTACACAAATAGCTGCCATGGCTGGGGCTGGACCCAGCAGAAACCAGGAGGTTTTTTGAGGTCTCCCATGTGGGTGAAATTTTATGCTATTTTCCCCGGGGCATTAGCAGGGAGCAGGACCAGAAGTGGAGTAACTGAGACTAGACCTAGTGCCACTATGTTATGCTGGTGCTGCAGGCAGTGACTTAATGCCACAGCATTGGCTGCTTTAAACAGTGTTGTAAATATTTTTGTACATGATACAAAGTTCAATTGCATGGGATTACCCCACCTCCCCTTGTGTCATCATGTTAACACGTAGAGTGTTTCAGAGTTAGGGTTTCGGATTTATGTTTTTAGGTTAGTAATGTTCAACCTGTCAGTAGAATGTGTCATGCTGCCCAAAAGTCTGTGAGAATGAACTTGTTAATTTCGATCAATGAATTGACAATGAAATTTTTGAAATAAAGAAATACAATTTTTTTTTTTGCTGAGTCTGAATCAACTGAAACTGAGTCTGGAAGTACTGCTTTCTATAATTTTCCTCAAAATAAGTTAAACCCAGATTGCTATGGCTCTGCATCTTGCATTAAACAAGAAAGACCTTCTACTACCTGTGTGATTCTAACAGAATGTCTTAGTGAAAATGCAGAGTGTAGTTAATCCACTCTCACTGTGTCTCCCTTTGAAAGCTTGGTACGTACTATTTGCTGTATCCTCTTGATTGTTTAAGGCTTGCGTAAATACATGATGTGTGGAGGCTATTAATACAAGTGGAATTCTGTTAAGTTGCTGTCACCCCAACATCCTTTCATTTGCTGTTGCTCTTGATGTATCCCAGTGGCTGAGAAGACCAAAGAGCAAGTGACCAATGTTGGTGGAGCAGTGGTGACTGGTGTGACAGCAGTTGCCCAGAAGACAGTGGAAGGAGCTGGGAACATCGCAGCAGCCACTGGCTTTGTTAAAAAGGACCAGCAGGGCAAGGTATGTTAAATTTTATACTGTTTGTTATAATATTGTAGGATCACAGTCATTTTCAAATGAGGAAAAAGATAAAAATATGGTGACTACCATGGCAGAGTGCTGCCTGAGCCTTTTCTCATAGAAATGTACCATCATTATATGAATTTTGTCTTTGTGGCTTTAACCTAAACAAACGCATTGCAAATTGTTTCAACATGACTGTTTTCAGTTTCTGGAAGAAAGTTAATGCGATGAATGATGTGGTAAATGCCACAAGGAACAGTGACATTTCAGAAAGAATGATTGCTTTTATGTTAACTCTGAATCTTGGACATTCTCTTTGTCAGAATGACAAATATGGAATAACAGATCTCTTTGTGTCTAATCTCTGTTTTCCCAAAATGAAGCTCTTTTAGTCATACTTGATTTCTTTATGACATCATCTGGTAAATGGCATATTTGCATGTCACAGAACAGTTCCTACAAATATGTGTTTGTGGGAGTGGAGTGACCCGAAGTGCATGCTACAGAAACTATAGTTCTGAGGTGATTGTTATTTTCGTGGGAGAATTTTGACTTTGCATTTCTTAAGAAATATAGGACTCTGGTAAGATTATGTAAAAGGTCTTAATCTTTTTTTTGAAACATACAAGTGATAGACTGTGAGATGTCCTTTGGAAGATGAAATTTGATGAATTCTGTGACCACAAGGGACAGATCATTTTTGCTTTGGCTGTGTCACAATGGTCTCTGTGCTGTTCTTAGACTGGATTAAGCCCTGTCTTTTTGCCTTATCTCCTCTTTGCTGGGAAGCTCTTCCCCAGAGCAGTGGATATCTATCTTCTCTTCATTTGTTGTCTCAGATCTTTGCTAAATGACTTCTGGTGAGGACTGCTCTGCCCTGCCTGAAATAGTAATCTTTTCATCTCCTGTAGTATTTCCCATCTCTCTACCATCTCCTCACAAGTGGTTTTCACCTTTAAAAATAATCTGTATTATGCTAATTGTTTATGGATGTTGTTAATTTTGTTTTTCCCTTCTGAATATAAGCATTCTGAGAATGGAGTGTATTTATTTTGTTTGTTGGTTTTTTTACAACATAAGTTCTTGTAGAGCTCCCAAGAGATGTGGTAAATAAAGAATTAGATAAAGTAATTAAGAAAATAAGGACTAGAGTTGATTTTGTTATGATTTTGAGTCTTTCATAATCCTTGGAAAAGTTTAAGAACAGTGGCTATTCAAGTTTCTGAGAGCTATAACCAAACTGGTTTTGGAATGGATGTTCTGAAAACTGGGAAAAAAAATCTTAGTTTTTTGAAGGATGTTCTGAGTTTTCCCTCACTCATGTTATCCTAATTAGCAAGCCTACCTTGATGACTCATTAAAATAGAACTAGAAAACTGTAGTAGATTTTACTTGACTGTATGTACTTACATGGTTTTGGCACATTTCTTGTTCATTATGAAAAGCTGAATCTGGGCATCCAGTGTACCTCCTTCAGTCAATACTTGAATTGGTGCTTCTTTCCTCATGATGAGAATCTGTGCTGACATGCCTTTCAGATAATCTTATTTATGCCAATAAGTGTATTCTGTTTGAAATTATAGTTTTGTTACATTTAAGAAGTCTGGGCAGATCTCAGATATTAGCACAGAGTTAATTAGCATATTTTGATCCACTTTTAGAGAAGCTACTAAAAGTTATGGATTCTTTACTTAGAAAAATGAATACACACATACACTACAGGTGGTAGAAGAATGTCCATTGAAGGAACGCATGTTTACATCCTATGGCTTACAGCAATCCCCAGGTAGTAGAGATGATGAGAATGAAATCCACAAAGGAAATAAGGTTGCACTGTCAGTTGGAGTAGACTAGAAACTGTGGGTGATATTTTATCTATTATATCACTTCCCCAGTGACTTCCTCGGAATTTAACTTGCTTTGCATCATTATGAATTGAGTTGAGGAAAGGCAAAATTAACTGGAGAATTTCATTGCTTTGGATTCTAAAGAAGCATGGGACACATGTTACATTGTTTTGTGTCCCCATTCAAGACATATCCTAAATAGCCAACAAAACGTTAAGAGTGTTTTCTTCTTTGGTAAAATTGAGTTTGCTTGTTTCTAAAAACTACTGGTAATTAGTTTAATATTTTAGAACAAAATGAGCCATTTGGAGATATTTCTAAGAATTTCTCATATGAAAATGAAGCCATAAACCCTAGAAATTGTACCAAGGTTGAAGGAGAAAACACATACTGGAAGTTAAAGTGGGTTGTCTTCATGTCCTACTTAGTTAACGGGCTGGGTGACCTTTTCCAGATCTCATAGGTGCCTTTTTAGAAAGCCTAGCTTAGGAATAGTTCTGAGTTTCTACAACAATTCAAGTAGCATTCCAAAAATTGCCTATAATTATGAACATATCTATGGGGTGCCAAAAATCTAGAAGGCTAAAATTAAATTACTGAAATTGTTCATTATAAAATTTGAAATAGTTTAATCTTTCAGACTCTGATAAAAATGATTCTTGTGGATAGCAGTGAGCTTTTCTTACATTTTTATTTGGTTATTATTGAAACCATTGAGGCAATCATTTATCATTCAAGAAATGATTACTCATAATGAGCTAGAAATGTGGAGAAGGGCTGCTAGATCCCTGGTTTCTGGGAATCTGTGTCACTTCCTTGGTAGCTGGTGTGTGTCTTCAGGATCAGAAACGTGAGACAAGTGATGCTGTCAGTTTTCACCCTTCATTCCTCAGTGAGGACATTTGGATGGCTGAAAAGGGGACAAAGTTCCCGCCTACATCCCTCCCTCTGTTGCTTCTCTGTATGCTTTCTTGTTTTGTTTATTTTGTTTGAAACCAAGAGTTCCAATAATGTTGTTTTTCTGTTAAGTGCATCTCTTTGTGGCATGATTGATTTGGTGTATTCTAATTTTGATATTGACAGAGGTGTCACCATAGCTATTTAATTTTCTTTCTTTTATTAAATGTAATTGCAGTGATGTGATAAATAAAACTTGTATATATGTCATTAAAACATTTTAAAATAAGACATGTATGATGTCTACTGTGATGTTTTAATATTTGTATACTTTGTGAAATGATGACAACAATCACAACGTTACCTTGCATAGCTGTCTGTTATGGTGAAATTTAAGAGACACTCTTAGCAAATTGTGGATTGTGTGGTATAAAGTATTATTAACTGTTGGTACCATGCCATGTCTCCAGAGCATATTTATTTTTAATAATTAAAATTCTGTATCTCTTGACCTACAACTCCCCTTTCTATTCCTCAATCTGTGATGATAACTTCCTTGATAATAGCTATTCCACTTTTGCTTACTGCAAATTTGAGTAATACTGATTCTACCAGGTAGAGTGATCATGCAATACTCGCCTTTGCATGGCCAACTTATGTTTGTGCAACATCTTCAAGGTTGATCCATGTTGCTGTTTCCTTCTTTGTAAGGCTGAATGATATTCTCTATGTGTACCTACCGCATTTTATTTAGGCATTTATGTTTTGATTGACACGTGGGTTTGTCCCCAGTCTTGGCTGTTACAAATAATGCTACAGTGGACATAGGCATGCAAATCACTCATCATGATAGTGGTATTATTTTCTTAGGGTATAGGCCTAATTATGGAATTGCTGATGATAAGGTAGTCCTTTTTAAAAAGATATTCTGAGGAATCTATGCAATTTTGCGTTATAGCTATATCAGTTGACATTCTTAGCAGCAGATAGCAAGGGATGTGTTTCTTCCACATTAGGATATCTCATACTTTTTTGTCTTTGATAATAGCTATGATAATTACAAGATACAAGGTGCTATCTCCTTGTGATTTTGATTGGCATTTGCCTGTGACTATGTCATTTCTTTTTCAAGATTTTATTTATTTTTGTTGGAAAGACAGATTTACAGAGAGAAGGAGAAACAGAGAGAAAGATCTTCCATCCTCTGGTTCACTACTCAAGTGGTGGCAATGGCCATAACTGAGCTGACCCAATGCCAGGAGTCAGGAGCTTCTTCCAGGTCTACCACGCAGGTGTAGAATCCCAAAGGCCTTAGGCTGTTCTCTACTGCTTTCCAAGGCCACATGCAGGGAGCTGGATGGGAAATGGAGCAGCTGAGATACAAACCAGGGCCCATATGAGATTGCCTGCACTTCTATTACTATTCACAGGAAAAGCATCATTTTCCAGAGCATTGACAGAAAGATATTCTGTGTCTTCATCTAGGATTATGATTTAACTTATGATATATTTTCAGGTGATTTTTGGTATCTCTTACAAAATACAAGTCTAATTTTGCCTGTCTTTTGTGTTCATACCTTTTTTCCAATACCATGTATAGAAGAAACTATCCTTTCCCCATTTTGTGTTTTTGGTATCTGTAACAAATTGTAAATCTATGTACTTATTGTTGCATTTTTCCATTCAGTTTCATTGATCTTTAGGTCTGCTTTTATGTTGGTACATGCTGTTTTGTTTCCACCAGTCAGTTATGATAACAGCTGATAGCTGCTGGGCAAGCTCATTTGTGCTCTTTTGGAATCTTCTGCTTCAGCTCTTCTGGATTCCATGACTTCTAGCATTGCTTTTTCTATTTCTGGGGAAAATGTTACTGGTATTTTAAAAGAGATTGCATTGTGTCTCTGGATCTTCTTGAACACTGGACAATTTGAAAATACTCTTTTGATTAAGAATATCTTTCCATTGATTTGTTTCCTCAAGTTGTTAGAGTTGATATTTTTAATTGTACAGATGTTTCACATCCTTTGTTAACTTTATTCTTTTTCAAAGGCCACTGCATTTTATTGGTTTATTGGATTGTTGGTTTCTCTGTGGATAGTGTTTGTAAAAAACACCACTGATTTTTTTATGTTGCTCTTGAATTCTGTGACCTTACTGAGTTTGTTTATAAAATTTCTGTTTTTAATGCAGTCATTAAGGCTTTTAGTCACAGCAAATGTTGACATCTGCCAGCATAGACAAATGTGATTTTTA